CAAAGGTGACTGACCTTGTAAACTCTTGAATATCTGTATACCATCATGGACATCATTTACTACACCTACTCTCAAGCTTTTCTAGAGATGATGATAATGAAGTTTGAATCGCATTCGTCTATCTCAATTCAGCTGAAGAGTAATTAATGATGAGTCTAAATCATATACTTCCATGTAAGGAAATCAGCCGCTGTTAATTATTATTTTTCATGCTTTTCAAGCCATTAAAGAGAGTTGAAATTTTAAAAAAACGGATTTCAGATGTGTACTTGTCACACTCTCACAATCTTGACAAAACTTCCCTTATTCCGGAATGCCATACACGGTAGCGAAAATGAACGAATGATTTGAATCGTGATGAATACGTCAAAACAGAAGAAGAACCAGAACAAACAAATCTTTTAAATTAAGTCAAGTCAAGAAAGATTTGATTGTATTTCATCTACTCCACACGATTTCTTATAGACCTTTTCTCCTTTCTATTTTATGTAAACTAATAGTCAACAGCGTTAAAAGAATGAAACAAAGAAAATAAATGAAAATGATAAGATAATATTATCTTACCAAGACTTTCTACCTTACCTTTGACCAAGGACAACATCAAGAAGACATAATCACTGCATTAAAAAGTGAAATGGACTCTTTGAACAATAATAGCACTAAAGAGGAATTACATGTAAGTAAAATTAGTTGTTTAAATTCATTAAAAATGCATAATTTTAGGCTGATCCAATTGACATTAATACATGTATATCATCTCTAGCAGTAGCACCCATCTCTTTTGATAGTATTCTACAAAAATGTGGTGATCTTGGTCGATTTCAATTTATACATTATTTCTTTATTAATCTCATTTCTATGAGTGCTGCAGTTGCTGGCTTTTATTATGTCTTCGCTGTTGCTGATCCTGATCATCGATGTCGGTTACCAGCNGACCCACATATTAGTATTGATTATGTTACTACCATCTCAGACACAGTTATCATATAAACTATCGTGATAAATACTTGAAAATTTAAGTCAAAAATTTACATAACAAAAAACATCATCAAAAACAAGTAGCATAAATTTGCATTATAAAATTGCGAAATCACATATTCAAGATATTGTTCTCAATCTTTATTATGCTCAAGAGGAAAAAATGAAAGTTATGGTTCATCTACCATAGTCACCTGATTGTACTCCTTCAGACTTTCGGTTGTTCGGCTGTCTGAAACGCAGCCTTGATACATATTCAGATGCTACAAGTTTAGCTAAAGCAATAACCAACGAGCTTAATTTAATCTCTATTCAAGAATACCAAAAGACATTCCAGGAGTGGATTAAAAGGATGAAACTTTGTACTGAACATCGTGGGGACTACTTTGAACATTTACCGTAAAAAGATTAGGAAAATATTTTTTCTATGAATAAATATTTGAAAGTCCGAGAACTTATTGACTAACCTATGTAGATCATCAATAAGATGATTATACGATGATCATTTATGATTCAACCATTAAAAAATAAATATAAGAAATAATTTCTTTTATTCTTCATTTGACTCATGCATCGTTGTTTCTGATAATGATGATAGGAAAATTTTATGTTTTTATTTTATTTATTTATAATATATTATTGATATATTTCTTTGAACTTCAATTTCCTTTTATCATTAATATATACATACTTGGAATTCACTAGATGGATTTTATTAAGAATAAAATATTCTTTCGATTATAATTATCGATGACGAAATTTAATTTTAAAATCATTAAATATCATCGAAATAATTTGATATTAAATTGTCTAAAACGATTTAACATTTGAATATGATTTTCTTATAAAGAACGTTTTCTCGTTTTATTCCAACCTTATTTACATTTATTCGAAAATTAATTTTTGCTCATAATATATCAAGGTATTTTTTCTTTGATTTTTTAATTTTATTCAAAAAACTAAAAATCTTTAAATATATAAAGAAAAATAAGCTGTCCATCTTGCAGATGTATTATTGTTATTGAACATTTATATAAACGGCATATATCATTTTTAGAATATTGACCAAGTATTAAAAGTCTTTCAAGGTCAATTCATATAATTTTTTCTGTTAAATTATCATTTATATCTAATATATTATCTTTAATTAATGATTCTAAAATGTCATATAAATTTAAATATTTTATTTTCAATTAAATAAAATAAAACCATTTAGATACATATCTGAACTATATTTTAATGTATTATTTTATATAATATTATAACTGATATTAATAATTTATCTAAATTATCTTTATGAGTTTCGTGTAACGGTAAATATAATGTATATGCATGAGTTTTAGTTATTAATTTAAAATTACATTCAATTAAACGTATTTATAATTCATTATATTCTTTTATTGTTTGTTCAAGTAGTCTATCAAATTTACATAAACCATAACCTTTAAATATTATCATCAAATTATACACGAAAATATTCATCACATAAATCATATAAATTTGATAATTGTTCTAATGATGTAAATCAGAACGCATTAATTCATATTTTAATTGAAGACATAAATTATTTGAACTTATTGTTAACCAACAAACAAATTGTTTAATTATAATTTGTAATGATGATGTTAAATTGAGACCATGATGAGAAAATAGACTCTAAAGTATTTTCATTTTAAAGGTGACTGATAGCGAAGGAAACATTCATACTATAACTTTTTAATTAATAAAAAATCTTTCTCATATTTTAGAATTTATTAGCAGAATACAATAAGTAATGAGAATGTGTTTGAAACTATTGATATAATCTTTCATCCATACGAAATAGGATAGTTTGCATATATTATATGTCAAATAAAGTCAAAATTAGAAAAATAATAGATTTTTTGTTTTGTTCAATGAAATCAATAATTTTGCAATGAATATGTCTTTCTTTCAACCCAGACTCATTAATAATAAAGTTTAAAATTGTTTCAATAACTTCTTTTTACGCTCATGTTGAATATATAATATTAAGAAAAATATAAGTTCTACTTGTCAATGGTTAAAATATGTATGAACTTACATTAACAAGCAATAGAAATGTATTGTTACTTTGAATTGATGTCAATGTAGTATCATATGAAAGTTGTCCATACGATAAATAAATCACGTGTACCTAATTGTTCAATATTTTAAAATACTTAGGGCATACGAAAAGTTCTGGTCAGTGTTTAAAGGACTTTGTCAGATCAGGTGACCTATTCAGAAATGAAAAACCAAATATACCATGTTGTAGCTTTTTGAGGGGCGTGGAATGGTATATAGTAAATCCTGTTTTCATACGACTTTGAAGTAAGTAGAATCAATTCACTGATAGACGACTACACATCCACAATCACGCCCATCCACACCTGCAAGATGGCCGGCCGGAGATGCTACGTATATGAGGTTGTAGCCAGCCAAAAACTCTACAAAATCGTATATGAGAAGAAAGGTTTTAGAAATACTGTCGACTAATATCAAGGACCCTAATATTCAGTAACTTCTCATGCTTGAGTGTGCGTGGGCGGTAGAGTACTGCACGGGTTTGACTTTTAGAACCCGCACCCGACCCGAAGGCTTCTAGTGAAACCCGTACCCGACCCGACCCGACAGGACTCAACCCGTACCCGACCCGACCCGACAAGGTTCAACCCGAACCCGACCCGACCCGATGACAATCAAACCCGAGCCCGACCCGACCCGAAAAATAAAATTCGTGTATTTTTGAAAGATACGTTAGTTTATTTCAATCCAGAGTTCCGAATGGAATTTTGAAACAAAATATTTTCGTACATTTTATGTAATCGAGTAAAATCTACACATGCACTTCATTTTCATAAGCAAAGTGTACGGATTGAAGTTTCCTAGTAGTCTTGGCAGATAAACAGCTGTTCATTTCTTTTACCAAACATGATTCAGAAGGAGTGTTGAAGTATGAGGGTAGCAGTTTGGACTCAACCGCTCTGTCCTCAACAGATCGTTACAGATATAGCCATGAAACCGAAGTCTGTTGGGAGATTTTGGTGAAACACGATTATATTTAAGATACTTGTCTTTTGTTGTCCTTCCGGACTCACTGTAATATTTTAAGATTATCATCTTTTATCATTGACACAGAGTAATATCAGATAATAATTCATAAATCGAAGCATATGTTATTGAATCTCTCAGTTACAATATTTACAACTACATTGTCTTTCACATTTTAATCTCACAAGGATTAAATAAAATTGACTGCAAGATCTCATGATGGACACTTAATCGTTCATTAATATAAATATTAATTCAAATCAAACAGACATTTCGATTAAAAACATACTGTTAGCGTTATAGACAAAGTGATTTCGTATACATGCTGCTTATGTCACCAACGTGTAAACAGTATGTGCATTAAACGAAGCAAGTGTTCCATACATTTTAGTGACGGTTGATACACTTGCTATTCAGAACGCTTATTTCAAATTAACCACAAGAAACAACAGCTCTATTGATAGGGTAATAGACCAATAGAATTATTTCATTGTTCTTTGTGTTTAACACTAACAAAAACATAAGACAGAAGCATATATTACGAAAAAATGTAACCCGACAAAAACCCGACTTTTATTAAAATTAAACCCGCACCCGACCCGACCCGACGACTGTTAAACCCGAACCCGACCCGACCCGACAAGGTTGAACCCGAACCCGTCCGCACCCGCGGGTCGGGTGCGGGTTCGGATCGGGTCGGGTCGGGTTGCAGTACTCTAGTGGGCGGGTATGGATGTGTAGTCGTCTATCACTAAATTGACTCTAGTTGCTTCAAAGTTTTATGAAAACAGGATTTACTATATACCATTCAACACACCTCAAAAAGCTCTGCAACATGGTCTATTTCGTTTTTCATTTCTGAATAGATCATCTTATCTGACATGGTCCTTTAGACACCGTGGTCAGAACTTTTGGTATACCATCAGTAAATTATTTGAACTTCTATCTAATGCTGAACGTGTTTGCATATGTTAATCACCAATATCTGTTAATACAAATAGAATAGATTTATTTCGACATCGATATCCAAATGTCATATCAACTGGATTTCCTGAACAATTAAATTGAAGTGCATTTAATAAAAATGTTATTACACTAAAAATCTATATACGATGCTGAGAAAAAAGATCAGATAAAATCTAATTAATTTTTTAATCTTCTCTACTATTGTGCTGCATTTATTTTTAAAATTGCTTCTTTTTGTTAAATTAATTGTTGTATGTTCATTTTCATGATTAGATTGGTTTGATGGATTAATTGAAAGTAAAAATGAAACCCATATTACTTGAAATAGTATTCTTGATAACCAATCAACAAATGATACACGTTCAATATAATCAGCCATTATATTCAAATGTAGTAATAAACCAACAGGAAATTATGATAAACAATAATCATTTAAACTACATAGTTGCTTTTAATGTTGGAGATACTAAAAGTGGAATTCGACAAAAACAAAATAGTACGTTGATTATTGATAATTTGTTATTAAACGAAAATATTTAGCTAACTTAAGTCAATAATCAACTTGTTCTCTTAACCAGATTATTTATTATATCTTTTTTTACTGATTCATATATGATTTCATTTAGTTAATTTATTTGATTAAAACGAATCATGCATTCTAATGCTAATATACTAACAGATATCAGATAGCTGACTTTTAGTGATGCACTGGTATATCCGAGAATAAATTTTAATTTTGTTTTGAATTTCAATGAAATAATATCAAGTGAAGAAATAACGGACGATGAATAGAATGTTCCAAATTGAGATAACATCACATTAAAACATTGTTGATTTGTTTCTATTAAGGGGCATCCCATTCCCATCAGTCTGGACGTGAAAACAAAATTCTTATCTGAAACTTCGTTTTTCATCAATATATATTCTCAAGTGTTCTCTATCGATCTGCAAAAAAATATTTATTTTAATAACATTTTGACCTCAAAGAGAACACTTCTTGAGACCTCCTCTATCTCAAAAAACTTTTTTTAATGTTTTTTTTTCAATATTTTTTGTCTTTGCATGTAATCCACTTGTAGCTATTTGATTTTTAGCGCATGATCACGCTAGAATCGTATGCCAAGGTGCGTGAGGTTTTGCTCGACTTCAATTTGAGATAGTTGATTAAGTTTATTAGAGATGTGATCAATAGGACGAAATCGAAAATTTCCGATTTCAGACTTCTCTTAATTCAAAACTATTTCTAATCGCTGATTGAGGAGTCAGCATCTTCGATCTGGCTTGCTGTCAGTTTTTAAGCGTTTGGCTGACTATTTCATTTCTTTTCTTTTTTTCGTTAGTAGCTATATAGAGATGTAAACAACAAGAAGTATATTATTCATACTTGTCTGCTTACGGGTACCTCGTAAGTGTAAAAAAAGTACTCTCTGAACTTAGGAAACTAGCTCATCGAATGGGTTGTAGTAAAAAAATCTATCACATCTTAAAGAGAAAGAAAAAACTGAGTATTTTGAAGAAACTCGAAATGAAATCTTGTTTTGAGTTTTCTACAAACTCGAATTTTACACAGAAAAAGTACCGTATTGCTCTCATTTCTCCGACATAGTAAGAGAGATCGAAATGAAACTTTGTCCACATATACTAGCCAATATTTCGGGTAGTTATTTGTTTTTCAAAAAATATTGTTCCGCAGATTTTGAGTAGCTCTTTTAAAAAGTACAATTGAAAAGAAGTACGCTTATTTGAAGATATCTTGGATATTTGACATCGGAAAAAATTCTCACTTCTATCGAACACAATATTTTTGGAAAGCGAAGACTAAACGTGAAGCTATTTTTCGCTAGTAGTAGGGGTGGATGTGGAATGAATGGTGACAAATACACACTCACGCCCAACATTCATACTCACCCGCAACCAGACACCCACACTCCACATCCATACCCACATATACTCGCACTCGCGCATAGACCCAGATCCGCACCGATGTATTCATTCTATCGAAGAACCCATTCTTGAGCATTTAGCTACAAGAACTCGAAGGAAGCAATCTTCTTTATATGGAATTCACCCCTGACAGTTCTAAAATAGAACGAAACGAGAAATATTCCAAGAGATTTTGGAAGAGTTTAGAAAGTGTTTTATCGAATTTCAACATATTCGTCGAATTACAGAACATGATAATCGTGAACAAAACAGCTTTTCAGATTTTGATAAATGGGATCACTTTCGTTTTTTTTTCATGAACATTTTTCACTAGTAGACAATAACGATAATAAATTGTCTTTAATGAGTAATAGTTGAAGAAACCAAATTATGCAAAAAAAAACGCTGATAGAATTGAAAACTATATAAAGTTGTTTATTTTTAATTCCTACTTAAGAGCTTTGCCAATTATTGAGTGAATCAAAAAGGGCTTTACCTTCGATATTTCAATTTAAAAAAGCATTGGAAATGAGTCATCGTAACTATTCAATATGAGAAAAAGACGAAGAAAAAGAAAAAATCAAAAAATCGACATTCCATCTATAACTGTCATAAAACAATACACACAAACGTTCTCTTTCTTTTCTTCGTACATTTCGAAGTACTTTGGAAAATTTAACACAACTCGACAATTGGCAATTCGTATGGTGTTGTTATAGATAATAATGTGATACAATTAAAAATGGTTATTCAATTATATAAAATTAAGAATTCTTTCAGATAAAATTTTATTTTCAAATCGAAATGATTCAAGTTAAACCAAAGTCGAGTAATAATACTGGATCCTTCCACGAAGAAACAAAGAAATTTCGAAGTGAGATCTATCTATTAACGACAATGTATAATACAGTCTTAGTTAAATAGCCACGTTCGATGACAGGTAGGAAGAATGAAAAATATCTTTTAATTCCATTTCACTGTTTTTCTGTTTTCTAGAAAAATAATTAATTTTTTCGAAAATTTATCCAATGAAATTTTCTATAAAATTTTCGATTCTCTTGATGATTATAAAATACAGAGTGGGCCAAAAGTAAGGAAACACGAGCTTCATTTCAACTTTTTGTTTTTTTGATAGATCTATGGTTCGGTTTCATACTTGAACCGCATCTATTAGATAGCATTACTCAGAGAAAAAGCCTATTATTAGCCTTTGGCCGCAAGAACTTGTCGAAAAACATACGAATATCTTTCGTATACTCTTATATGACTGTCACATAAGTTCACTGTTGTCTAATCGAAGTCAAAGTTCTTTTTTCATTATATCTCGTCTATGACTAGTTTGCTATGGTAGCAAATCTGAAACAACATAAAGATCAATAGAATTCAAATTATCCAGTGGATTTTGATGCAAACAAACCAAAAAATAGAAACATAACATTAGAAGAAAGCTACAAACTTATGTGACAGTCATATAGGACTGTGTGCGAGACATTCATATATTTGTCGACAAATCTTTTTAGCCACAGTCTGATCAAAAGCTCGTTCTCTGAGTATTGCCGTCTAGTATATATGGTCCAACTATGAGCTCGAATTATGGATCTATAAAGAAAAAATATTTGAAAAGAAGTTCGTGTTTCCTTACTTTTGGTTCACCCTGTATTCTTTTACGATATTTTAATATCTCAATATTAGTTACAGTCGAATAATTTTCGACTAACAAGGAGTGACTAATCTCAAATTGGTACTGTTCGAAATTTTTGTGAATTGAGAAAAATCGTGTGCACGATTTACCGTCCTGGAATTTATTTTTTCGTTGATTATTTGGAAGAAGAGAAATGAGTAGTCAATGCGACAATAAATGTATTGTCAGAACTAAATTCCAATCAATTTTTCAAGCGTAATATAACACTACGTTCTATTAGCTGTTGAACAAGTCGTCATTATTGAATTTAATATAAAAAAAACAAACATGCAAATTCTCTACATCCAAACATTTACATTGGGATTGACGCGATAATCAAGTCATAACAGATGAATATTCAATCAAATTGTGGTAACAGTATGATCAAGATCGTATTGATATTTCAATGTTGTTGAAAGCTACTGGACTAAGTTATTTTCAACATCTATCAAAAAGTTAAACACTCACCTCACTTTACTTTCTTGTATTTGTTCATATTTTTATTTAAATTTTTTTCCAACAATACATTGATTGTCGCAATCAGTGCTAGTTTCTGTTCATTCAAATAATCAACGAACAGTAAGTCATGTAAACCAAAAGAAATCCTACGAATTTGAAGTGATATAAATGTAATTATCTATTCTTTTGAAATCCAGCATTCGAAAAATAACTAAGAAATCAAAAATTTACTATATTGTGTGTGGATGAAGGTGAGAGCAATCCTAAGAGTACGTCGTTGTGGTGAAATGAATAGTCGCTACTACTATAATCGAGAAAATGCTAGTATCCGCGAAATAACATTTCTCCTTTTTCTTGCTTTCTCTCTAATATCTGTTATTTGTCATAGGTTATCTTTGTCAGAAATCAGTAACCAATAATTTAGTAACAATTTCAAATTTGCCATAACCTTTAGATTAACTCGTATCGTAAACTTAAAGATAATTAAATAACGAAGAATCATCATAATAAAATAAGAATATTTTCTATTGAATCTATGCTAAAGCATATTTGTTTGAAAAGTGAACCATAATTCGATGATTATCTCTAATCGGATTAGACTACAAAAGTAGTGATCTATAATAGTAATGAAACATATTTATATACACATCTGTATGCCGAACTTACAATTAGCTTTTTCTTGTTAATAATAACATTCTTTATATATCAAATTTTTGCTCCTATGTCAACATATCCAATCGTAATCATTTTGTCATCATAATAAAGGTTTACCCATAGCAACAGAAATGTATTTTTATTGTACAATTGAAATCAATTATTAAACACTAAACGTTTATTTAGAAAAAAAAATACAATGACTCAAAGTAAAGATAAACAAGGTACATTTGTATAATATAAATTTTGCATAAATAAAATGCTTTTTATTAAGCAGTGAAAACAATTCATGATTTTGTCCGAGCAAACAATGTTAAAGAACTTGAATTAATAGTTGGTCGAGGAGCAAGTGTTAATGAAATTGATGCGCGTAATGACGATAAATTTACACCATTACACTGGGCGGCTCATGCAGGAAGCTTAGAGGTTAGTATTGAATTTCTTGTACAATCCTTATTAATTTCTTTTTTTCGTTATTTTGAAAAGTGTATGCATTGGTTATTATGGCAATCAGCTGATGTAGATGCTCAAACACCTAAAGGATGGACACCAATTCATATTGCTTCAATTCGAGGACATGATGCATGTGTACAAGTGAGTGTGTTTTAAATTTTCTCACCCAATTTAAGATGTCTATAGGCTTTAATTAATAATAATGCTAATTTACATACACGTGATCGATGTAATCAAACTTGTCTTCATATGGCTTGTACCCATGGAAATTCTTTTGTTGTTCATACTCTTTTACGTGGAGGCGCAGTAAGTTTTTGTTTTTTCTTCATATTCTGTTATCTATTGACAATGAATGATTTAAGGATATCAATCATATGGATGTCAATGGATGGACACCAGCTTTTACAGCAGCATATCATGGAAGACTTGGATGTTTACAAATGCTTGTTAAATGGGGTGCAAAATTGGATGATGTTGATAATGAAGGAAATACGGCTGGTAAGAAAGATTTATTCAATAAATTGTCATGAAAAGCTGAGATTATTCAGATTAAATTTCTGAGAAAATCAAAAATCGATAATGAAATAATATCTCAGAAATTTCTCAGTTTTTTTTTCAAATGTTATAAATGGTGATGAATTTAGTAATCTCTGAAATTTTCAGCACGGTCTTTTTACTTTTTCCAAGACCATTTTTCAAAAGAATGATTTTTGTCTTTCGAAATCGGTGAATTTTAACTTCATGTTCTTTTCATCATAATTATTAGTGATTTCTACTACTACTACATCTACCATCTAGACTATATCACAATTTGTGCTCTTGAGACCAGCGAAACACTTTTGATTAAAAGTCATCGTTTTGTTATCATTGAAGATGTTGTGAGTAGTATGATGATATAAAATTATGTCCTTCTCAGCCATTTATCCTAAAATTTTACTCTGTGATCCTCTACGAATGAAATATCGCTCTTTACTGTCTCTTTTTCGCTAACATTAAAAATGTCGAAGATTTGGTTGAGTAATTTTATATCATCATATCATCCAGAGCAAAAAAAACTAAACAAGAGAATATTAATCTATCGAGAAAGGATAAACTATGAAAAATAGACCAACATCTTCAATAATAGGAAAAAGATAACTTTTAATCAAAAAATGGTACACTTTTCTCAAGGACAAGCATTGGCAGATATTCTATGTAGAAGAACTTGGTGTACTCTATCACCGGTCGAAATATCAAAATAATTAAAGCATTGACGAAAAATTCTGAATTTTAGTATGCAGAAGGACAATCTTCCAATAATTATAATTACCGTCAATGTCTAAGTCCGTCAAACACTTACTGTTAAGAGAGTTCAGTAAGTGTTTTGAAACTTTCAAATAAAATTTGTCATTTTCTATTGTTTGCTTTCTCAATGGAATTCAGTTTAATATTTTATTAAATACAATACAAGTTTCAATATGATTCTATTTGAATTTATATATACATATATCATAACAGAGTTCTTTGATTGATCATTTAGCTCATCTTACAGCAATGGAAGGTCATTTACCATGTTTAAAATTTATCGTCTCAGTTAATCGTGATATATCATCAATATTAGGTGCACGAAATGATCATGGTGATACACCAAAATCTTTAGCTGAACAATTTTTTAAAGAAGATTGTTGTACATATTTGGATGCACTCGAATGGGAACAAGATCATCCAGAACAAGCCGAAAGTAAAATAAAATTTATTTTAGAATACAAGAAAAAAAATCAAAAGTGTCTATTTTAGATCTTGCTTTTCCCGCACATGTAGCTGCATATAATGGAGATTTTGAACATGTTAAATTATTAATTGAACAAGGTGTTGTTAATATGAATGAACGTGATGAACGTGGTGCTACACTGGCACATAAAGCAGCTGGTCAAGGACATTTAAAAATTATTCAATGGTTAATTGAAATGGGTGCATCAATGGAATTAACAACTCAAAGTGGTGAAACACCAAAAGATGTAGCAAGACGTTTTGGTCAATTAGCTTGTTTAAAAATCTTAGGCGGTGATGCTGATAAAACAGAAACAAATCAACAACGTCATCAAAATGAATCAACAAAACAAGGTCATAGAAGAAAATTAACACCGAAAGAAGAAGAACGTTTACGTGCAAAAACCAAACTTGATGAATTAGAAAAACAAGTTGATATAGCAAAAAAAAATTATCGACAATTAGGTGGACAATTAGATGATGATAAAAAACGTGAAACAATGGAACAAAATTCGCAAAAGTATTATTTTCATAAATGATTTATTTGCTTATAAAAGTAAAATAATTTTTGTTTGTATTTTAGAAAAATTGAAGAACTTGAAACTCAATTAGAATTTGAAAGACTTAAAAGAGAAAAACGTGAATCAGAATTAGATGAATGTCGAAATGAGATCGTTCGTCTTGTTACTGCATTACGAAAATATGAAGATAAAATACGACATTCACAAGTAAATATTTTTTTTTTATATTTATCAAAAATTATTCACAATATTTATTTAGCAAAGACCACCAAGTGGAACAATGGAACAAAAAACTAATAAGGCATCATCAGCTTCAAGCAAACGACAAAAACGTGTAGAAAAAGAAACAGGACTTGTATTTATGCGTAGAAATTCAGTGAATTCTTAATATTCGTATTAGACAGGAAAAAATGAAAAGTCATTTAATATGTTCATCCAAGTACTGAATTTTTTTTAAATAAATTTTATTCTTTAAATGAATATTAAAGATATTTTCGCCATCGAGTAGAATACAGCATTTTTATCATAAGCCAAATAATGGTAAATATTTCTTAGTCAATCTGTTTAAATAACTATCGAATTATAAAATTGTATAAATTGAATTACATCAATATTATCTTCCATCTATACCAGAGACATGCCTGGCGGTATGGAGAATGTTTAAAAAAATACTATCACGGACTAATTTTTCTCATCGTCTTGGTTAATCTGTTTAAAACAATACAAATTTTCGAAATGAAAAGAAACTCATATCAAGTTATCATTATTCATGAATTCGATTATCATCGTGACCGACTGCAAGTTTTAATCGTATTGGTATTTTATCTATCGTTCCTTCATATAAAGAAACGCTAAACTTGTTTCATTCCTTCTTAATGTCATTTGTCAAGTTGATCAAAATTCAAAACGAACGATGCAAGTGACTATGGATACCATCAAACATATTTCTATCAACTGAATTGAATTAATAAACTGTGCTGTAAAGCTAGCCGGTTGAAAAATGACTTTAAAATGCTTGGAACAAATTTAGTTTTTTTTTTTTTATGTCAATGAATGATCGACAAAATACCAACACGTTTAAAATTAGTAATCGATCAGGATGGCAACTAAATGCATAAACAATGATAACTTGATATGAGTTTCTTGTCATTTCGAAAAGTTGTATTATTTAATAAATAATAAACAGAATGATGGAGAAAGTCTTCATTTAATTCATCCCGTCGTACAAATGTGTTAAATGATTATAAATATGAACATTAGAAAACATACTATTTAATGAACGTGATGATAAATTACAAAACATATAGGATAACATCGAAAATAAGTATTTTGTCCTAAATGTTCATACTCATTACTATAATAATTTACCATATAGCTTCTGTAAAAAAAGACAAAGTCATTGTATGAATGAATCGATTTTGAGTATGATTCTAAGCAGTTCTCCAAATTTTATGCTAGTAGAATATAAGTAATTGTAGACATTGTAAGATAAAATGATGATAACGTCAACAACTATTTTCTATTATCATCTATGAAAATATCACACAACAAATAGGTGACTTCTAAAGAAGATAAGAAGTTTTATCTTTTATTATTGTTGTCAATGAAATATCAAGTTCGAAACAAACAATTAATATTTGTTGACTATTTCATGTGATAATTACCGATACACTATCGCTGATTTGATTTTTTTAAAGTGTTATGTAATGGTATATTGTATCAAAACAGATGAATATTTTTGAAGTCTGTTAAAGTCGGCAGAATTGAACCGTTTACGATGCACTCTGATAATGTTGATGCATCTGAATTGCCTGTATTAGTCCCATAGCTCAGACCTGTTCCAGTTATGAGACATACTGACAGTAGTGCTGATAAACGTACGACATGAATTATTTATATAAATTACAAAACCTGAATGAAAACTCGAATATGTGCTCAAAGAAAAAAATAAACACTTTAAATAGAAGAACATCTACTTCTATGTATTAGATTGATTGAATTATCTACAGAGTAATTTTTTTTAGCAGATCAGCACCCTCACATAGAAGATACATTTTCAATTGTAAAAAAGTAATGTCTAAATGAGAACGTATTTAATCACGTAAATACTTATTTAATTGCACAAGCAAGAGTTTTATAAAAATAATACTATCATGTACGGTTCACAGTACCATTTTATAATCGATTAAATATTAATTCTTACAGTAAGATTTTTCCATCTGGGAATGTTAATAGTTTGATTTAATTTGAACTTATAGAAATCAATATAATAATTTCGAAGGCATCAAAAAATAATATACAGTACTGGACAAAAATATAAGAACACTTTATTTTTGATTTTTTTCTACGATGCTAAATAGCTAGCTCAAATCCAAATAGTGATTCTGAAAGCCAATGAAGTTTCCTATTTAATGCACTCTACAGCAGAGTTTCATGAGTGAGTCACAGTCGAAAGATTTCCAGAAAACTAAAAACCGTGTTTTTCAAGTCCTATAAGACGTTGCTGANTGATGCGTTGCTTCTTACCTTGAAAAAAAAAAAAATAATAAATCGAGTCATCATGACTTGTCTTTTATTAATGGAACACGTTCTTCAATTGCTTATTTACACAGAAAGAAAAGAAAAAAAAACATGCAGTGCACATCATCATGACGATGCAGAACTTATTTGGCAAGTATAAGTAGGAAAAAAATTTGTCTTTTTTCTTTCACTCTTCATTTATTGTTGCTATTTTACCATCAAATAAAATTTAAGATTTTATTCATAATGACAACTGCTCAGAAACATTTCAAATCAGGTAGAAATTCAAAGGATTTTTAACACTTTTTTCTCCTATAAATAAAATTAAATAGGTTCTGAATGTCCACCACTCAAAGAAAATCAATTACGATTATATAGTATGCGTTTTTGTCCATTTGTTCGACGAGTAAAACTTGTCTTAGCTGCTAAAAATATTCCGTAAGTTTATATGATATTTAATTCTTTTTCTTAAGTATATTAAAACTATTCTAGGTATGAAGAAGTATTTATCAATCTTAGTGATGAACCTGAATGGTATTTAAAAAAAAATCCAGTCGGTGAAGTTCCATTATTGGAATGGATCGATCATGATTCGAAAGAAATTCGTTCAATACCTGAATCACTTATTATAAGTAATTATCTTGATGATTTATATTCAGAACATCGCCTTCATCCTATCGATCCTTACCTCAAAGCTAAGCAACAAATACTCACTGAAGGATTTGGAGACGTAAATAAAATTCTCTTTAATATAAGTAAATGTTTCGTCTTGTTTTATTAGGTTCGATCAGCTTTTTATAAAGTATTTGGAAACAGTGAACAGAATAATTTTGAAGATTTAAATCAAAGTTTAACTGTTTATGAAGAAGCACTTCATGATAAATATTTCGGTGGATCAAAACCAGCAATGATCGATTATATGTTATGGCCATGGTTTGAACTTTTTCCAACATTAAAAGAAATTGGTTTCGTTTTAAATGCTGATGGAAAACTACCTAAACTTGGTAACTGGTTTAAAGAAATGCAAGCAAATGATGTTGTTAGAAAAACTAAAGTACCAGATGAGATCATTCAAAAATTTGTACATACTGTAGGAGAAGGCAAACCAGACTATGATATTGAATAAACTTCTAATAGATTATTCTCAATAACCGATCATTTGTATTTTAAAAATCTGCTTAGAATAATAAAGTTCGTTTTCATTGATTTTGTTTCGTGATTAGAATGACTTTTTTGTTGTTGTTGTTGTTGTTTTTACATTTTCCACTAGCAGTTTCAATCATCTGTTTTATAAGTTTAACAAAACAATGATTGTAATCATAGTCATTATCACACCTATAAATTGATAAATAAATTACCAAAGAAAAGAAATGTTTTAATTAAAAATTCATTGAATAAAATGATAACTACGTAAAATTTCTTCTTTAGTATCAAATACTGATGTATATGATTTTTATTGTAAGCATTTTTAATTGTATTACAAATATCTTCATATTTTACCTAGGAATTAAAATGAAATCAAAGTTTTTATTACATTCACTCATTGTTTTTTTCAAAACGACTAATTCAATAAACTGTAAATACATCTGGTATAACTAACTTTTCAACTTGAATACATTCTCCAAAGACTAACATAGAGTCAGTTTTTTTCAAAACTAAAAACTACTTTAGTAACACTAACATAAGTATGGATAGAATAATATTTTCCATGCTACCATGTCCATATTGCTAATACTAAAGAATCTCTCAAATACATTTGCTTTAGACAATACATATAATAAATTAATTACTTTATATAGATGGATTATCAACAAAGATTTCCAGATTTCGTCTTGGCCTAGGTGAATCTTGGATTCGAAATTGGACACGTTTAAGGGAACTTGTGGGTGAGTGCTTTACGTTAAAAACGCGAATTAATCTGCAGATTGATGTTGGATTTAAACTCTTATGGATGAAATCTAATGAATCAATTGCATTTCAATTAATACAATCATCAGTTGATCAATTAAGTTTGTATCCGTAAATTTGCAATCGGTTTTCTACACAAGAACTACTTCCATGGACAAATACTCATAGTTATTGAAGTATTTTTGAAGAGATGAGAACGTCATCATGTATAATAGATCTTTAAATTGAAAAGTTCTACTTGTACTTATTGTTGTTATTTTCTTCGTTAATTGTGAATTAAAAAAGCAATCATTCTTGATGATGTTCCTAAGAGGAACGGAAATCTGAATTAATGATTATAATAAAAACTCTGCAGCTTTCTTAACTTCGATCGTTCGACACCACATAAATTGGTTATTGGTAATTATCTTCTCGTTCCTATCTGAACCAATATACTCTCTTATTTCTTCTTCTAAAACTTATTCAGTTTATTCTCGGAAGTAATTGAACACTTTAATTATAGTCATGTAAATCTCGGTTCGTGCAAAACAATCTTCTTTCTTCTCTCTCTGTTTCTACTCGGATAAACTTTTTGGTAACTTATTCGGTGAAAATGAAGCATCTTTGTACAGTCTTGTTTATGAAATTAACAAAGTCGAAGAAACCAACATATACTATTTCACTTAGCTTACTTGTGATATTGACTCTCACTGTTATGCATAATCACAAAGTACTGTACTACACAAACATCGTTGACTCATCTTATGCATCAACCAATATCACCATGTCTCTGACAAATTAACCGGAGTCAATGTTCTCATTTACTATTTTATTCGATTTCTCATCCAATTTCTTTGGACTATCGTTCTCATCATCCAAACAGCACATAGTCATGCGCCCACAATGAAAGAAAACCGTGAAAATACATTTATGACTATCCCGAAAATGAAATTTCAAACGTATAAAGAACATTATCTTGCACCAATTATTATCATTCTCTGTTTTGTAACACAGAGAATCTTTATTTACCACAGATATCAAGAGTTCATCTCCATTTAATGTCATCGAATACATATACAAAAAATTTTCAGAAGTAATCTCTTGATAAGGAATTGATTGAAAAGAACTAAGAAACTTTTAGTTAGGCAAATCTTACTTTTATTTTCCGTTATTGTGATAGCTTGGTACTCTATAAATAACAGGATTCTACTTCTCTTAACTCGCTTGGCCGCACAAACATGGTGGATGTGGGTTTCTACATATGACTTTGAATGAAAAATTACACCACAATATGCTCCGCACTGTTCGATTACAAATTCAACCGTGTAGTAAAGTGCTTTGAATCTACCTTATACAGTCATAGAAGCTGAAATGGATCTTCCATTTATATAATGTTATTTGTATTAAAAAGTGTTACACATTCATGTCAGTTTCGCTATGAACGTGTTGGTCGATGTGACACAGTATAGCTTGTCACTAATCATCATTTACCGATTTGACAGTTCGAGAAAAAGTTGCTTAGCCGCTATACGGCAGTTGCAATCACTCTAGACTCTCAAGTCAGTTCCAAAATAATGTTCTAGAGCAGTCAAGTCTTCTTTTTTGAAGAGTACTTGATAACTAATGAATGTGATGATGAAGAAAATTGCCAACATGAAGTTTGGTCTGTCTACGTAAGCGTAGACCTTTTTTGAAGGAAGTAACTCATGTAATAGCAGATTTTTTTTGGTAAGCTTTCTCATAAAACTAAGCAGACATAACAATATTCATGCTATGAAAATTTATCGACTTGTCACTCGATTCAACATATGAGCTGCTCATACAAAAGCATTGAATAATTTTTTAACATCAATTAGCAAGCATATTTCGAGCACTAATAGTTCACGTATAAAGCAAGCTTCAGTTACACATTTGACAGCTTTCAAAGGTTTCCATGCTTTCAAATTCAGCAGTATGTTCTAATTGTTTTTAATGGAAAAAATAAAAACTATTTAACATAAAGATGTATTTGCTCTTTCATTTTTAATAGCAGCATATATTAATAGTTGCTCTTTCAAAAGAAATTTTATCCGTTCGGATGTATACTGATTTGTATATGATGATAAGTCAGCACCGATATTTGAAGGAAACATTTTAACAAAAATTGATGACTAAAAAGGTTCAGTAGGAGTTGAATTAGAATTAAAAAAAGTAATTGATCATGATGTTGTAATTGTTGACGAACGATAAGAGCAAGGCAGGAGTGGGACGCCGATGTAGGTGTAGAGTGCTAGCCAGCCTGCTCATTACTCACACTTTATGTTCTACCTATCATAACATTATTTAAAAGGGCAACTACGAGTTCCTTTTAAGAAGAATATAACCATTTGTTTTAATGTTCTGTAAAATCAGACTATACATATATTTATAAAAGAAAAAGAAAAAGGAGAAGAAAGAGAAGTGGTAGGACAGAAATAGAGACAATATGAGCAATTGCATACATATATATATATCCCATATCATAACATCACAGTATCCTATACATCTTTGTTTTTGGTTCTTTCCAAATATCTTAGAACAAGGCAACAGAATCTTTCATTAAAACAACTGTAGAGAATTTAGCAGCGTATTTCTGATTTCTTGATCAAATATTCAACTTCTTATCGAAACTCTATGGTAAGAAGTATGCAAAATCAATTATAATGCAAACATCTTGAGACACTAGATTTACATAAGAATGTTATCTATGTATTCATTACTACTTTGAAGAATTTAATTTTATGGTTTATAAAAAGAATATATATTGATACGTCTCCCACCAATAAGTACATGCTTATTATTTATGATAACAAAATATAAAAAATAAATATTTGATTGACGTGTGTGAAAGAACCAAATATTTACGATGAATAATTTTCTTATGTTTGCATACATTCAATAGTTCTCATAGTATGATTTTTTTCGGAAGAATAATATAAACGAAACCTATTCATATCTAAAACATATGAATAGAACTTCATGAATCACTATTTAATAACATATATACATCTCTGGACAAAAAGCTTTCTCTCATAATTTTTTTTTTTGTATAGAATCCCTTGAGTCTCAAATGAATGTTGGTTACAAGGCTTATATAAATACTGTATTCTAGAGTAGTGTATGATTGATTATGACCTACTTCAATGAAGTATGTACAATATTCAATATAATTGGCCAACATTACAAATCAGTTCGTTGAAAAATATTTCATGGCTAGGTTATCTTTTTTTGTGGTATTTTCTCAATGTTTTACTACTAGTTTTATTTTATCTGTATTTCTATAATCGAATATACCGAGTTTTTGAAAGAGCTTCAAGTCAGTGACGAAGAGAGGTTAATGAGCCAAATCAATAAAACAGTTAGTAGATACACAAACAAACGAGATAACCTAGTCATGACATATTTTGTCAAGCAATTCATCTGTTGTGTTACTCAATTGTATTCGAAGATGTATATTCTTCATTGAAGCAAACTGTTATCAATCATAGTCTAAACTACAGTAAAGTACTCAAATCATCTTTGTTACTTAAATTCACTTGAGACCAAAGAGGTTCTATAGAAAAATAATGATGGGAGGTAGAAAGATTTGTACATACATAAAAGCAATTTATGTGAAGTGTGTATATTACCCTAGAAGAACTCTGTTGCTTTATAAAACCAATGATGTTGTGTCTGAAAAAAAAACAGAATATAGATGTGCTTGTACATTTTTTATTATCTATGTTTTTTTATTCTCCCTCGTTCTTCCTAACCTTTTATAAGAGTTTGATTATAGTATTGCAAATATATAACTTTTTGACTAAAATACACACTCTATGAATATGTTCTCTACTTTTTATTGAAAAGATAAGAAATAATGTTTTTCTTTTAATATTTTCCTTTAGTAATGAAAATGGCTCTGGCTTGGATATATTCTGTATTATTATGTTTTTTGATACTTAATCACAAAGGATTAGGATTTAATGCTGAACGTGAACAATATGATGATGATAGTGAAAGTTCGGATGATGAACAACCAGAAATTGCTGAGCGAGCGTGGCAAAATATGGATAATTTCAATTCTGGTTATAGTAAAGATAGTTTTAATGTTTATTTTATGGGTCAAAAAATTGATGGAGCAAGTGCCATGTCGTTTCAACCTTTAACATCTGGTTATGCTAAAGACAATTGGAATGTATATTATGTGGGGAAAAAAATGCCTGGCGTCAGTGCAATGTCATTTCAGGTTCTCTCTTATGGATATGCTAAAGACAACTGGAATGTTTATTATATGGGCAGAAAAATGGAAGGTGTTAGTGCAATGTCATTCAAGATTCTCTCTAATGGATACGCTAAAGACAACTGGAGTGTTTATTATATGGGCAGAAAAATGGAAGGTGTATCACCTAATTCATTTTCTGTGAATATTTTCTGATGATAATCCAATTGCTATCTAAGTTGGCTTTTATGAACAGATTTGAAATAAATATATTCTTAGCTCTACAAAGTTTATCATAATTCTAAAAATACAGGATTTTTAATAAGTTTTGGATAATCAACTAAATCATCAATTGTATGGGAAACGACTGATCTTTAATTGAATATATCTTTAGTATATAGAACTCTAAAAATATGAAGTAAAAAAAATGCACGCAGACTGATTACATCGTACAGATCTTATTCATGAGTACTGCATGCACTAGAGTGTATATAACTTCGTAGATGTTGTTTTGATGCTTCTTTGCTCCTTTCAGCTATTTATTCACTGTATACTTCAGCTGATTACGAGATCAATTATTCATCAGAAGCCTCCAATAAACGATCAAGAGAACTACGTCTACTTTCCATAATACTGCCATTTCATGTAAAATAAGTTCATAGTTTTATTGAGAAATATAATCGAAAATATTAGAATAGATTTCGAAACTTGATCATTGTTTCTCTCGTTTATATTATTATTATTATTATTATTATTCGATGAGAAGATGTTAACAGGTAATGTCACCTGAGCTATCGACTTGATTATTTGAAATGCGTATAGAAATATTTTATTAGGCATCATTTGTTAATTCAAAAATAAACTCATTTTTCTTGAATACTTAAACCTCATGATATACTATACAACGCAATATTCAACCAATATACAATCAGTATGTTGTTTATGTCATGAGATCTCATTGAAAATGGCTATACAAAAAAGAAAATTTGTACTTTCTACCATTTTGTTATTGCTGTAAGGTTTTTATTGAGTTTATTTTTCTTTTTGATTTGAGTATAGATAAGTACGTATATATTGACATTCATCTCCACATTCGATTTATACTTCGGTTAAGAGAATAAAGAAGGCAAAGAAAAGAAGAAAATAGTATGTATGCTGTGATCTATATAAATCAAAGCGTATTATAAGAAAAACTTTTGAGGGTGTGGGTGTGGATGTAGACATGAAAGTTCGATATGAACGGGTGCGAATGCTGGCATTGTTGTAGGATTTGGTCGGAATAAATATCGGCAGCCTCATCTCACACCCTTCATTTTCACCAAATTGGTTAGCGAATAGCTTATTTGAGTAAAGACAAAGAGAAGAAAGAAGATTGCCTTGCAAAAAAAAAAGAGATTCGAACGACTATAATTGAAAATTATTCCATTATTTTCAAGAATAACTTTGATAAGTTTTAGAAGTCGAATTCAGAGAGTACATTGTTTGAGGATAGAAACGAGAAGAAGATAATTACCAACGCCTAGTTTACGTGCTTGCGGACGAATGAAGTTAAAAAAAATTGCAATTTTTATTATTGACAGTAAGTTGTGGAGATTTAAGTAGGAAGCAAGTAATTACGATGAATAGTATTGTACTGAACCAGTAAATGAAAAATCATTTAATTCAAGCTTTCGCTCCTCTCTGGGAACATCATGAGGCATGATTGGTTTTTTTAATTTAAAGTTAACGAAGAAAATAAAAACAAGAAGTATAATTCAACTTTTTTATTAAAAAGTCTATCGTTTCTGATGATGTAACCATAAAGGAATGAAACGCTTGAATTAAATGACTCGTCATTTACTAGTTGAGTAGAATGCCTTCCCTGACAGTTAATCATTTTTTACTTAAAATAATTTCGTTAGTTATGAGTTGTTTTCCATTGAAGTAGTTCTGGTCTAGAAAACCGATCATGACTTTACGGATGCAAACTTAACTGATCAACTGATGATTGTATTGATTGAAATACTATTGATTCATTAGAGTTCATCAATAAGAATTTGAATTCAACATCAATCTACAGACTAGTTTCAGTTTTGACATTATGGCTAATCGATATGTGCATTCGTTGATCGCGCAGTGATATGATAACTTTGTCCCTTGTATTATTTTCATTATGTACTTGATATTTATGTAGTATTGTAAATATACCAGTAGATTCAACGACATGATCAAAATCTAATTGACTTCAAGAAATTTTAGAGGATTGTTTTTTAATATAAATTAAAATAAAACAATTCCAATATTAAAAAAGTTTATATCAAACTTGCTACAAGCAACAATTACTTTACCATCAGCCATGACTCTTTCATATTTAATCGTATGTTTCAACTTTGAAACGACCATCAATAGAATTCTATGCCAACATATATATATGCATACCATATAATTCACATGAATGAAAATATGAAACTGATTTCATAAAAACACAAACTTTATTATTATATATTGCTCCGTCTGAATAGTATAATAAAGTTAATACTTTTTTTTTGGGCATCAAATATTATCCTAAGAATATTAGTTTTATAAAACATAAGCAAAAATGATGAGATGTCAATGTAATTAGGGCTTCAATTGAACAAGAATTGAAAATATTAAAACAGTTTTTCTACACTATGTTGTAATCGATACCACATTCTTTTATTCAAAAGTTTCTATTGAACGTGAATAAAGCTTTTTGCATTTCTAAACTATAATAAATAAAATATTGTAATAATATCACTTTGGAATGAAATACTGATGATACTTACCATTGCCAGATAGAATAAATGTTGTTGTTTTTTTTTGTATGATTTAAAACAGCTTATCATTGATACTTTTAATCAAATTCATATTTTTTTTATTGAAAAAGAAAAACAAATGTTTTCAAACATTCAATATACTTCAATGAATTACAGTGATAATTTTCAATAAAGAAGAAAAAGAGTTTCAGATCTGCATAGAAACACTAATTATACAAAAATGTCAACATTTCTTTGTACAAAAAATTTATAACAGCATAATTTGTAAATTTCAAGACATTGATTGTTGCTTCTTTACCCATTGTTCAAATGCTTCTCTGTATAATGTAAATTAATGTATATATAAAAATTAGCTTTATTTATTCCTACTTGCAAAAAACTGATAGACATTGTGTGCTACAATATTCTCCGTCCCATTCAGGATGATCAATAGAAGAATTTTCACATCCGACACGTTTACATTTTATTGTAGAAGATACTGTAGTATCGGCGACAGTTGATACTGACTATGCACAATAGAATATAAAAATAATCTTTGTTTTTATATTATTCAAAAATAAAAAAGAATCTTTTATTCATTTTTAATTTTCAACATATATTTGAATTATTTTAAAGAAATTATTGGATGAATTATTACCGGTATTGATGAGCACAATGAATCAGACTTATTTGTATCTGTTAAATATTCTAATGAAGCCATACACAAATAAAACTATCTAAAACAATTATTTTATTGATATCTAAACTGAATAATTTATTAGATTTAATTGTTCTTTTTTGTTATTAATAAACAAAAAAAAGAAAGGAATGAAAATGTACGAATCACCACTGTGTGGTTAAACATGCTTGATTCCAATGAAAATTATTTTCATTACTAATTGGTAATAATGATGAATAATCATCTTGTTTTTTATCATTCAATCCATGATGAACGTTATTCATATAATCATAATGTTTTTCATGATGTCCATTTGTCACAGGAGTAAGATCTGTATACTGTGATACATTATTATTATTATTATGTAAATTATGTATTAAATTTTCATTTGTTTTTATATGTTCATTATCAACTGATGATTGAGAATAATAAGATGAATAATGTTCAGATTCAATAACTGGTCGAAGTAAGCCATATTGTTGATAATCGGAATAATTATTATTTGAATCATATGAAGAATAATTTTGATGACTAGGATTAGAAAAATATACTTGATGATCCGAATGATATACATTTGAAGTATCTTGAACATAAGGATTGATATAATGACAATGATTATATTGTTGTTTTTGATATTGAATAGATGATGATGGACAAAATGATTGAAGTGAATGATGATTATTATTTATCATAGATCCAGTATGATATTGTTTTGATTGCTGTTGAATTCCATGTGAATCAAATGGTAAAGATGTTTGATTAAGAAGATGACACATATTTGGTGTCTAAATAAAAAACAAAAAAAGACTGAAGTTTTCTGTTTTTGAATGAAATTAATTTTTACTTGATTTGAAATTTGAACAGCACGATATGCAGCTAGTTGTTTTAAATATTCTTTTTTAGCTGCAGCTGCTTTAGATTTATATTGCTAAAAATAATTAAAATGAAAAACATCAATAATGTATAATTGTATTATTTACTTCTTTAATTTCTGGTTCAATATTTTCCCACATATGTGCAACAACTTTTGAGATTTCTCTAAAAAAAAACAAATGAAAATCAAAGATTTGATTTTTTTAAATTTATTTTACCCAAATGATGGATTAGATAATTTCTTTTTTATATCATTTTGTGTATCACGAAAGAATAATGCATATGGAGAAACTGGCCTAATAAAATATTTTTCATAGAAATCAAAATAAATATTAATTTACTTTTGCGGTTCATTAGGATCTTTACGTTTCTTTTTCGTTTGTTTCTTTTTCTTAATTATTTTATTACTTGTTATATCATTCTAGAGAAAAATAAATATTAAAAAAAGAAAAGAATTCTTTTTTTTTTCAAATACATACTACTCTATTGAGTGATGACGATGAAGATGATGGTGGTGGTGATGTTTCATCTATATCGCTTGTTGATGATTGTTGAGGAGAAAATGATTGAATTTCATGTTGGTATTGAAAATGACCATGTAAAGAATGTTGATGAATTTGAGGAGATTGAGTATAAACTTCTAAATATGTAATTATATCATGTATACATCTTCTTTCACGAGGTGTCCCGACATTGCCAGGATTGTCGGGGAGGGGGGCGGGATGACGAAGACGAGTGATCGAGACTCAGAAAGCTGATTATAAGATTTTTACTGAAGTTCACTGGATTTTCGGTGGAGGTTACGCATCTTTTTGAGCATTAGTGAGCAAAATAAACAATAAAATGCTGGAACTTCACTGGAGAAAATTTTTTAAGACTCAGAGCGAAGGTCACCCCTTCGTCTCCTCCCCCCCCCCCCCCCCCCCCCCCCCCCCCCCCCCCCCCTCCCTCTCCCTCCTTTCTCTCCCTTCTCCCCTTT